TTTCCAGGTGTGTCAAGTTGACAGTCGAAGCTATGACATCTTCCATACCCCAATGGCATTCCAGATTCCAAATACCGTAACAAACCTCCCAAAAGTTAGATTAAATAACAACCACTTTATAAAGTGGCATGGAATTTGTTGACTAAGGTTTGGGATCACATTTGGCTGGGCAGATGTGCTTTGGTGGCTCCCTTCACCTGTGTGGCACCCTGATGAACATCTGGGACCATCAGGCACTGGGCCTACATGGCTTTGCCCAGCCATCTCAGGGTAATTGGCTTTCTTCTGGAAAAACTGGCTCCCTCTAGGTGTGTTCTGAGAAGCTGTATGACCTATGACCTCATCTGAGGAAGTCACAGTATTCTATAGGTCAAGGCAGTCCCTCCCCCATTCAAAAGGAGGAAGCCTAGACTTCAGAGCTGTAATGAATGCATATTTAAAACCTGCTCCACCCCTAGCCCCCACTTTTCATTCACTTCTGCCTCATCTACTGTTCCCAGATGCACCATTGGGAACTGGAGACATCAGGGCCTTGCAAGAAAAAGTGTCATAAATGACTCCACAAAAGCGAGGAGAAGTGGGACAGGACCACTACCATGTCCCTGAGTGGACCCTCAGATAAAGGCCATGTGGGTTCACTCCCTCCGCAGCTCAGTGGAGTTGGTGTTAGGTCTCAAACCTAGGACAAGCTGTGTTGACTATTTAGCATATCAAAGCAGACTCGGCCCCCCAGGTTCTCCCAGCATCCCCAGGTATGTCTAGCATACCCTACTGCTTACCCTAAACTTCCCCAGATGCCCTTTTCTATATAATGCAGCCATTTTGGTTTGCCTGGTCTTTGGCCTACTTTTACTCTCTAAGCCAGTCTCTTGGCCAAGGCCAGGGATCTTGATTGGTGGCTTCCCCACCCTCCCTCCCTCACCCCACCCCCAATCTGGCCCAGCTCAGTTTGGCCACTCTGGATCCTCCCAGATGTGTCTGCCTCTGGGTATGCTGTCCCTTTTATCTACAAAAAAACCTTCTCCTCTGTATACCTAGAAGTAGTCATGTCCTTCCTTTTTTATTTTTTATTTTTTTCATTTGTGAAACAAGGTCTCACTGAGTTGATTTGGGTGGCTTTGAACTTGTTATGTAGCATAAGCTAGCCTGAATTCATGGCCCTCCTGTGTCAGCCTCCAAGTCCTGGGATCATAGGTGAGTGCTACCACACCCAGCTTTACTCTATGACATGTGTTAAGGAACCTTTGCCCCGGAAACCTCTGGCACACATAGAGTGTTGAAGTGAGATCCTTGGTCAGTGGCCAAGGGGCTTGACCCAGGAGCTGCTCTCACCACACAGGTGGAGAACTGAACTTTACTCATGATTTAGACTGTCTTGCTCTACTACACAAGATGGACAGGGTTGAATTCTCCGGAGCAGTCACTGAGGTATAGGCTGACCCATCAATCATGATGAGCTTTGGAGGTTCTCCATCGATATGCCCAGGGTGCTCTCCGTGTTGCTATTAACGGTGATGGATACTTGTGTGTTGCAGGAAATATTCTGTCCCACCATGTTCCCTAAGTACCGGTTGCTAGGCTTTCTCTAGAGCCCATACTTTGTTTACACATACATCATGTAACTTTACAGCTGGGTAGTGAGGAGTCCTGGCCTGACCTCTGACAGGTTGTGTCCCAGGGAGTAAATTGGGTAGAACATGGGGCTCTCTTACTGATTGATGAACCCATCAAAAGGCAGTACTGAAAATGTAAAACCTTAGCCAAGAAGGAGTCAAAGGCACCTATGCCTCTAGCATTTACCAGACTGCCTTAGCAGACACCACAAAGACAGCCTTAAAAACAAACAAAACAAAACAAAACAAAACAAAAGAAGAAGCGACATTACTTTTTCCACCAGCTAGCTGTTGTCACTGCAGTTCAAAGTGGCATTTCCTCTCCAGAGTGGTTGCTGCTGCCTTTTCAGTGATCTCCAGCTTTGCTTTGTTACTGTTATCACCTGACACTCCGATAGAGGCCAGTCTTTGGGACTGAACGTACAGCCTGTTAATCCTTCCTGCCTCAAAAGCCCATCAGTGTGAATGGAGCATCACTGTTGTTGCCTAGGAGATTTGGCCTTATGGTCATGCTACCATAGAAAAGCAGTTTCAACTTCTAGCTTAAACACAGAATTGCCTCTCTCTCCTCTTTTTCTTCCTCTCCTTCTCCCTCTTCCCTTTCTCCTCCCTCCCCTCCCTCTCTCTTTTTTCTCTCCTTCTCTCTCCTTTCCCTCTTCCTCTCTCTCTCCTTTCCCCTCTCTCCTGTTTTATTTCCCTCCTTCTTTCTACATGTGTGTATGTGTGCAGGTACATGTGTGTGAAGGTTAGAGGACAATGGGTTTTGTTCCTCCTTTTTCTTTTCTGGAGACAGGGTCTCTCATTACCCTGGGACTCACTAAATAGGCTTGGCTGGATGCTAGACACTGAGCCCAGGGAGCCACCTGAATCTGCCTCCTTGGTGACGATATTACAAGTGCACACCCCCATGCCCAGCTTTATTTATTTATTTTTTTAAACATTGATTCTGGAGATAGTACTCAGGAGAGTCCTGGTGCTTGTCTGGCAAGCCCTTTACAGACTGACGTTCCCAGCTCCTAGCCTCAGAATTCCTGATAGGTTTCCAGGCAAAACACTTCATATGTATCTCAACTCTGGAGTCTCCAAAGAAGCAGGCCTGCACCCACTTTGCCATGGGGTCTGATGTCAATACACTTTGTGTAGCCTGCTGTGTTCTGAGCCAAGATCATCACTGTTTAATTTACAGTCAGCTTATATGCATCTTTCTTCAAATCTTGTCCCCTCTGTCTTGGCATGAAGAGCTGTCCCTTGTCCTGGTATTTTGTCTCCCTGCAAGTGAAGGAACCTACTTTGGTGGGGTTTTTTTGTTTGTTTTGTTTTTGTTGGTGGAACATACCAGCAGGGAAACTGTGCAGCAATATAAGAACCATTGCCTTCCCCCCCCCCCCATTTTGCAGTAAGAGCTATGGTCCAAACCGGTCCCCAAATCAACTCTCATAACCAGCTTTAGGGGAGAAAGAAAAACACTGCTGGCTCTCTAGATAGGTGATTTATTAGACCCAAGCCAGTAAATAATAATCCAAATATGGAAATCCAATCCCCACCCCCTAAACTCCTCCTCATCTTTCTTCAGCTGTGGTACCTTGTGAGCCAGCCTTTCTTACTAGATCATACAGAACCTGTCTAGAGCTTGATATGCACAGTATTCCTGAACATCTATTACAAGTGGCTGATGGCCTGTCAGAAAGAGAGAAGATTCAGAGTGATGGCCACTGGGATGGAGAATGTTTGCATCTATGATAGTTAGCTTTGTCAACTCAACACAGTCTAGAATCACCTTGGAAGAGAGTTTTGATGAAGAATTGTCTAGATCTGTGGGGCTGTCGTTGAGGGACTGTCTAGAATATGTTCATTGAAGACCCAGCCCACTGTGGGTGGCACCATTCCCTAGGCAGTGAGCCTGAACTAAGAGTGGAGAATGTGATCTAAGTACACACACACACACACACACATACACACACACATACACACACACGTGCACACGTGTGTGTCAGTTTCTCAATTAGCTCTAGACTGTGGATGTGACTAACCGCTTCAAGTTTCCACCACCCTGACCTCCCCACAATGGACTGTAGCCTATAATTGTAAGTAAAAACAAACCCTTTATCCCCTAAACTCTTCTTTTAAAATATTTTTAAATTACAGTTATTTGTCTTCTGTGTATAAGTATGTGTGCACATACATGCTGTGGTGTGCATGTAGAGCTCAGAGAACATGTTGGTTCTTCCTCCACCATGTGGGTTATAGGGATTGGACTCAGGTCATCAAGCCCAGTGGCAAGTGCCTTTACCTGTTGAACCACCTCACTACCCTACCCCATGCCGCCCCCTGTGATCAGCCAGGTAGCCATTACGTTTCTAGAGAGTTCTCAGATAGACTAAATGTAATATTGTGAGCTTTGCCAGCATGTGTTCAGGAACCCAGCTCTGATTGACTCAGCAGACACCATGTTTCTGATTGTCTAAAAACAGGCCTGGGACCCAAAACAGGCCAAGTAGTCTAAAGGCAAGATTTAACTGGAGGCTTTGAGGTTGAGAACCTGTGAATAGTTGTTTTCTATTCCTCTGAATCTTGCTGGGGAGCAGATAGAGCATGAAGCTACACTGTAGTCAGCTCACACAAAAGAGACCCTGCCACAGAAAGGATACAGAGAAATGAAGCAGGACCCTTCACCAAATTCTGCCTACCTACCACTAGACACTTCAGTTGTGACTCGATAAATACCACCCTGTGACTGGTATAACCTTGTTTGATTGCTAGTCGCATCTCTGAAGACCTAGCTAGTCATAATCTCAGCCACTTATGGGCCAGCTGAGGGAATCCCTTGCCATCTCTGTAGAGTGACCTGTCAGGGTTACAGAGCATCTACACAGACAAGCTGGTGGAGTTGGAAGAAAGTACAGCCTCTGGCTAACTCTTTCTACTGAGGCTAGGAGAGGTGCTTCATTTGGTGTGAATTTAGGGAGTGTCTACCCATGTTCTCACCATACTGTAGCCCCTCATCTATCTCCATGCTGGCCATAAAATTACCTCAGGGGGACAGTTATCTGGCACATGTGTACTCTGTGGCTGCCTGTGAAGAGGGTCAAGCCACCCAAGGCCTCAAGTGCTGCTCCCCAAGATGTGGGACTCAGGAAAGAATGCCTCTTAGCTAGATCTTCAGGTGGTACTAAATTGCCACTCATCTTAAACAGGACCTCAAGCAGGGTTAGAGCCAGGACTGTGCTGGCAAGCCTCACTACCCACCAGGGACATCAGTTTCCTCCAGTATCCTCAAGGAAGCTGGGCGCTCTGTGAATCCAGACATCTGAATCAGGGAAGTAGAATTGAACCCAGTCTTTCTACTCCATCCAGGATCAGTAAGCACTTGCCACAGCACCCAAGGGAGAGTGGGCCACAGCCAAGAATCACCTTTATTCCTTGTTTGCCCACCCGGAAGCTCCAGAAGAGTAAATAGCATAGATGTCTGCCTGTGAAGACAGCCTCAGGCTGATTTCTCTCAGGAAATACAGTTCACAGCTCTGACTTGCTGGGTGAGAAGGTGCCACCTGCTGAGTTCCCAAGACTTAGGCTCACTGAAGAGCTTTGAACAGCCCAGAGGCAGCCTATGTAGTGGCAAGGCAGGTGTGAGTATTGGGGAGGGGGACAAAAAGCAATGTTTTCCCCAAATAGAGCCAAACCCCATTCAGGAATTATGGGAAAGGCAGTTATCAGATATGCAGGGTTTAGGAAAAAGAATCCCAGGAAAAAGGAAGAGGTTGGGCACACAATGAGGGAACAAGGGGTATGCAAGATGTGCATGGAAGAGGGTCACAGGGCCCTTCCTGCAGCCAACAATGACTCAGCTGTGGAGACCCAAACCAGGGAAGCCAGCATGAGGAAATATCAGCACATGCCCTTGTGAGGATGTTTGGGATGTGTCTCCCACACAGGACACAGTTGTGAAGGGCACTGTCAAGACAGAGGTCAAGATGCAGAGAGAGTCACAAGGTCAAGATGGCACCCTTGGAGAACTTCAAGAGGAAGAAGGTTTCTGTTCTGGTAGGGGTCACATGGCAAGTGACTCAGTTGAGTCTTCATCCTCTTCTTGGGACTAAGCTTGGACCTCGTGGCTTTCTCAGTACCTCTGACAGATCAACATGAAGTTGACCCAGGCTGTGGCCAGTTGAAGGGTCCCTCAGCAGGTCTGAAGTTGGGAGCTGCACCAAGAGAATATGCTCACCTCCTGTTTTGTGGTTTTTAAATCTTGAGAGACCCAACAGCTGGCTGCCTTGGGTCAGAATAGGTGTGCTTGGAGGTGCAGAAGCCTGGGCATGAGCACCCCTAAACCTGGATGAGACCAGAACAAACCACACCAGGCCTGTAGATACCTGTATGCTTAACAGTACTAAGCCAAATCCATGGCCTGAGCCAGCATCTTTCCAGAAGAGATAAGGCATTACAGCCAGCTGTTTAGCCAGATTGGGGGAGGGGGAGCAGTTTCTAGGGTGGGCACATAGAAGGTTCCTGGTTCTTTAAATTAAGACAGGATTCAGTGGTCCAAAACTCTTCCGGTCATACTGAGTTAAAAGCATGTCGTAGCAGCAAGAATATATCCTTGTTTTGTCACATGAAGGTCAATGGGCACTGTCCCAGGAGAGGGCAAGGCCAGCTTGATGTGAAGGGTAAAGAACAGCCATCGGTTCCATGGGCTGCAGCCCACCTGTTCCTGCAGTCTCTCACGTGAAGTATCGGCAGGGTGTGGAGTCGATGGAGCAGTACTGGGTACACCGAAGGTCTCCGTATGATCTGTGGGAGGCAAAGATACTGTTCAGGGCAGGGACAGCAGACAGCATAGTGGGCAGGAAAAAGCACACTCGGAAAAATGCACTAGATTTCCACAAACCTCGCAGGGCCAAAGTCTAGGAAGTCTTTGCTATTTGGGGTGTGGATCTCTGGAGTTTTCCACTTTAAGCTCTAGCAGAGGGACTAAGGTGGGAGGAATGGTTAGCCCCATGTTAATACATCCTCTAGGAGACACCCCCTTCTCAAGGCCTAAGTGTGTCCCATGCTGTTTCCGAGATCGCTCTCTAGTAATGCAAATGTCCTCTATTTGTGCTCAATGGACAGCATCCGCCTGGTTCAGCTCGTGAGCTCTTGAAATTTGGTTAGTGTGACTGAAGAACTGAATTTAAAAATTCTAATGATTGTAAAATTGAATAGCTACATGGAATAGGGGCTGCCATGTTGGGCAGTGTAATCCACACATCTGCAAATCCAAGTGATAATCCTTAAACAGTGTCTTACCCACATACACTCTCAACTGTCTCTTGTAGGTTTCTAGAGAGTAAAGTAACAGCTCTGGTGACCTAGTGAATAAGCCCCAGGCTCTCTTCAGCCCTTAGCTCCCTGTCAGAGGATACTACAGGACTCTATGGAGCCATTCAGCAGCTCAGTCTAGGTAGATCCAGTAGGTGGCTGGGAGGAGCCTTCCTTAGTTCAGGCAGCATGAACACACACACACACACACACACACACACACACACACAGAGTGGGATCCTGGCTAAGCCTACCCAGAGTTGGAGTCTGGGGGTGGCTGGAGGTAGGTTGCATAGGCTGATATATGTTGGAGATTGAGGGTTGAGGGGACCCCTGAGAGTGTGGGACAGAGGTAACCGAGGGAAAGGTGTTGTCTACTTCCCAGCCTGCTGAAGGACAGCCAGAAGGTAAGCAATGAAGGCAATAAACCTGAGCAATTGGACTCATGAGAGACTAGACGAGGTAAGAGTTCAGCTGCTGCAGGATATTTGATCACACTGTGAACCCCTGAGATTGTGTTGTTTACTGGAAAATCCTGTTTCTAGTTGTGGCATGGCTCAGCCCTGAGCACACAACTTTAATCCCTCTGGCTGGAATACAGACACACCCTTAGTACACACTTTTAATCTCAAACAATGAAGGTAAAGTTAATTTGTAGAAGGAAGCACCCATGTTTGAAAATGATGTCTAATTGGGTGGCAGACAAAGTGACAAATCCGAGAAAGATTTGACAGGATGAGACAGGAAATTCCCAACTCTCAGGAGAACAGAGAGAGGAAAGGAAAGCTACCTAAGAGAACAGTGCAGATAGAGAAAGAGAAAAAGGAGGAAGGCAGTTTTACCAGGAGAGTTTTACAGAGACAGGGTGAAGAGAGAGCAAGCTAGACACAGGTGAGGACAGAATGAGCCAGACAATGAGAGGGAGCCAGAAGATTAGAACAGATTGTCAGAGTTAATGTGAGGCCAAGCAAAGAAATTCAGGAGAGGCCGAGAGAGAAGTTTTGAGTCGGAATAGCTGAGTTGACCAGCCAGCTAGAGTTCAGAAAGATCTAGAAAGGATGAGCTTATTCAGCAGCAAGTCTCAGAGGCTGAAAACATTCTAGGCTTGAAGGACTAGGCCTAGGTTAGCAGACAGAGGCAGTAAGCCTCAGAGACAATTACATCGGACAAATAAAAGTTACTTTACAGTCAGCAGGTAAATGGCCCCTAGAGCACCATACAGCTGACTCCACTGGGCTCAGATGAGTACAGTAGCAACTAGAGCTATTCTGACTGGAAGGTTATGTTCTGGTCAGGGAGCTGGGGTCTTTAGGTAGCTTGGAAGACACTATGGTGGAAGCTAGGACACGAACACATTTGATTACTCACTGGGGATTCTCTGAGGTGGCTAGCGTGGTCCTTGAAGGGGACAGTTTCTTGGAGGGACCACGAACGGGCAAGATTAGACATTTTTCCTTTTCCTTTTTAAAAATTATGTGTATGTGTCTTTCTCTGTGTATCTCTCAGTATGAGTTTATATGTATGTATGTGGTATGTGTGTGTGTGTATGTGTGTATGGGGGGGTAGGAGTGTGCCGTGGTGTACGTGTGAAGGTCAGAGGTCAACTTTGTGGAGTCAGATCTCGACTTCCATATTTACATAGGTGCTGAGGATTGAACTCGGTCACCAGGCTTGCACGGCAAGTGCCTCTACCCACTGAGCCTTCTTGCTGACCTCATTTTTCTTAGTACGGAACCTTGGCTTACTGAGCTATATCCTTTTTTGTTGTTTGTCTGGTCGGTTTGGTTTTTTGGGTGTATTGAGACAGGCTTTCTCTGTGTAGTCCTAGAACTAAGAGATCTGCCTGCCTCTGCCTCCTAAGTGCTGGGATCAAAGGTGTGCACCACCATGCCCAGCTTTTCTGAGCTATATCTTAAGACTCTAACGTTACATATTAATTCTGGTCTGATCTTAGATTTGTGGAGGCGGGTACTGTGCTCTGGGAATTCGGCTGGGTGGACAGATGGAGGCTGTGAAATGTCCTTATGCTGCTTCTGCCCTCTTACCTTGTCCTCCCAGGCCACAACCCAGTCAGTACTGTGGCCAGCAGACCACAGTGCTGCTCTGCCCTGGCCCAGCATGTCACTGATGGCAAGACTGCCTGACCAAGGCCTCTCAAGCACTGTGGTGACCAGGGGAGACTGGACTCTCCCCTACTTCAGTGTTTACAAAGTACCAGGAACACAAACGTCCTTGAAAAAAATCTGTGAAGGAAAGCAGGGGAGGGGAGCTTCTGTTATAGTGTGGAAGGCCTCCCTACCCAGGGAGATAGGTCTCGCAGGTCAGGTAGCCAAAGTCAGAGCCGTCACAGTCCTCCACGCCCTGGTGCCGGTAACCATCTCCACAGTAGGCCCGATGACAGTCTAGAGGGACAAAAAGTATAGCTCTGAGAAGGGACGGGATGGAACAGGCTTCCCTACATAGTGAGGACTGGGTGGCCCAGAGGAGTCCCAGGAGCACCAGGAGAACTAGCACCCGTAAGGTTCAGACTCACCCGAGAGCAAGTGTCACACTGACATACCCTGAAGTAAGAACGGTGAGATGAAGGGTCTGTATAGCAAGCCTACCAGGGACAAGAACCTTCACGTCATCTGTAAAACTAAGACAGTGGCACTACCTCCCCTTCACAGAACCACTGTGGGGCATTGGTAAGGTAAGGCTTAGGAGACTGGAACAGTAGACCCAGTGAGAGGGCATGGGGGAAGGAAGCCTCTGTCAGCATAGAGCACTGGGGAGGCAAGCTACTACTAGGCTTGGCCTGGGTTCCTGAGGGACCATGCAACCTCCACAAAGACCTTTGCTTTCCTACAAGGAGCAGGACTCTAACCATCTATCCATCCATCCATTTATCCATCCACCTATCCACTCACTCATCTATCTACCCATCTATCCACCTGCCCTCCCACCTACATACCTACTACTCAGGGTCTAGTTATGTAGTCCACACTGGCCTTTGAGTTTTGGCGATCTTCCTGCTTCAGCTTTTCAAATCATAGGTATGTGCTACAATGCCTGACCCACCCTCATTTTTATAGGGCAAGGGGACCCCACTACTTTCTTTTTATTATGATGGCTCCTATTGAAGGGATCCTTAGAAAAGCCAGTACTCCATAGACTGTCATCCAAAAGTTGTCAGATGTCTGGTGCAGCTACATGGAGAGAGTAACAATGTCCCCCTGCCTTTCAACCCTACCCTAGGTGGATCTTCCTCTCAGTGTCTGTCATCTGACCCCTGAGCTCCTAGAGAGCAAGGACAGCAATGGTGTCTACACACTTTCAGCTCTGACCTCAGCAAACCAAGTCATGGATAGATGCACTGACCTCAAGCCACATCGAGACAACCTCTTTATACATCAGCTAGAGGCATCTCCGAAGACATGAACCACTGTCGTATAAAGCCTCTCTTACAGCCAAGAAAGCCAGGCTCAGCTAGAAATGGCCCTCTTCCTCCTTGATGAGCTGGGTGGCAACCGGAGCCAGCTGTTGAACCCTGTCCTGACTCTGAAAACTACTTCCTTCTCATCTCCTGCTCTGGTCCCCTTATGTAAAACAAATAAACAAGCAAACAAACAAACAAACAAAAAACACAACACAAAACAAAACAGCAAAAACCCCAGATCATTGAAAACTGCCAGAGCCAGCTCCTAGCCCTGTTCAAGAGTCTGGAGTCAGTGTTGGCTGACCCACCACTCTGTTGGCAGCTGACAGGGCTTGCACCTAGTATCTATCAGAAAATGAATTCTGATTCAGCCTTGGCTTCTCCTTCTGCTTTTCTCTTTAGTGTACAAAGTGAGGGCCGTCACCTTCTCCTCCTGAACTTGCAATCTGGGTTTCCAAGAAGTTGGGCTTGGAAGAAAGAGTGTCAGGGACAAGGAAGGCCTCTGGAGACATGACCCTGAACACCTCCTGTTGACATACTTGGATGAGGTAGGAATTAACATGTGGCCAGAGATCTCACCCTCTGCTCCCAGTACATTGTTCCTTGTCTTTGCCTAAAACCATCACAGCTAGTAGCCAAGGCTAACCCCCTCTGTCCCCGCCCCACCCCCAACCCTCTGGTCAAGCCTTCCAGGCTGGGCCCCACTCACCAATGCAGCCGTCACTCACGTCAGGATTACCATCGTCACACTCCTCCCCGGGCTGCAGGACCCCATCCCCACAGGTGCCATGCTGCTTTACGGTGTAACCCACAGGGTAGAAAGGGGTGAGCTGGCCAAAGAAACACAAAAACATTAATGATGGTAGCATGCCTAGGTAGCCACAAGAGAGGAGAGTCTCTGGTCCTGGAGCAGATGCTCTGGGTCTAGGAGGCATCCCTCATCTTCCTCCGAGGAGGGGGTGAGAGCGATCATCTTTCCCAAAGGGAATCCTGGCTCAAGATGAGCTTCTGTTTGGGCATGAGGCTGTAGAGGGCTGCTCAGGAGATGAAGGAGGGAGGCTGTCTGGCCCTCTCCTGCAGACACACAGCAAAAGCTCTATCGAATTTCAACTGTAGGAGTGTTTCTCTCCTGGCTAAGGACAGGGGGATCACAGCCCAAGGGGCCAGCCCCAGAGTACCTGGATGGGGAGCCAGCCAAGGCTATCTTTGAAGTACAAAGATCGCTGGTCTCTTCGAAAGGCAATGGCATTCTGGGTGTTCAGCTTCTCCAGCTCCTCCTGGTTGTTGACCACAAAAATCTGCCAGAGAACATAGTGGTCAGGGTTCAGAGAAGCTTCCCTGCAGGAAGGGCAGGGAGGGCCAGAGGAACTGACTCTGCTTCTCAGGGAGGACTGTCAAGCCAGGTCAGAATGTCTGAGTTGGAACCACAGCTATTTACCTTGATTTAACATATTTAAATGTTTTTAAAATCAGGCTACCAAGGCTTAGATGATGGTATGAAAGACACAGGTTAAGTAGTTTGTCGTCTGGAGATGACTCTTCAACAGTGGTCACACACAGTGATGATCATTACACCCAGTACTGTGTGTTGAACTCAGAGCACACAAGCAAGTACTCAACCACTGCACTCCAGCCTCAGGCCGAGTACAACTCTTTCAGACAATATAAGCTCAACCACATCAAAGTTAGACTTGAAAGTAAAGAATGTGGAAAATGTCCCTTAATGACCTCACATCCAAAGTAACAGTTTACCTGTTTTCCTTTGATCCTGCTCCCACTTTGCAATTTCCCATAGTGAGTGGGTAGCCATTGTGAAAAAGGAAAATGAAGTTTCCCCAAGTACATCATGAAGGCCTAAGATCAGATAGAGAGCATCCTCTGCACCCACCCAGACCATGCCCCAAGAGCCTTACCGCGGGAACTCGAGGGGAGCTGCGCCCATACATGGAGTCCCCGTAGGAGGGGTTATTCACATTCACAGGGGGTCCACAAAGGCATCTTCCTGGAGGGCCTGGAAATCCTCTTTCCCCTTTGAGTCCCATTACAAGTTGTCCTAGGAAGTAACAGACTGTTGTGTAACTAGAGCCAAGCAGGTCAGGTGATACGAGCAACCTGTATAAGGAAGAGAAGTTGAGAGCTCGGGGCAGGAGAAGCAGAGGGAGAGAGCCACAATGTAGCAGAATAAAGGAGAACCAATGGGGGTGGGGGGCTATGCCTCAATCCTGCTCCGAAGACAGACAATGTATCGAATCCTATAACTGCCTTAGTTTGACCACTAAGTAACAACCTATAAGAAAGATGAGGGGTTTGCTGTCCTCCAGCCCTGAGAGCCTCACCTAGAGGCTGAACCAAGCTAATAGATCATCTGTTGATTAGCTCTAGATTTCCTTGTTAGAGGACATGCCTTTTTTGTGACCATTATTGAAAAGATCATCTTGTAGATGGATATACAGTGGATGGAAAACTTTTATTGTATTAAATAATGATTGCTATTTATTTGAGGGAGAAGGGAAGTTGTACACACAAGGGCACACGGATGGTGGTCAGAGGATGAATTTTGAGAGTTAGGTCCTTCCTCCCACCATATAGAACCTGTAGACCGAACTCAGGCATCAGGGGTGGCCACAAGTGCCTTTGCCCATTGAGCCATCTTGCCAGTCCAACTGACACTTTTAAGTTTCTTACATAGAGGATATTTACAGGGGACTTTCTGAGTGTGTGTTTCTTACATTCCTCCTGGAAGAGAATAGAACATTTTCCCCTCCAACCCCGTCCCCACCTGGGGAGTTAAGACAAGTCAAGATACATCCTGGAAGAGTGTGGTTAGGAAATTCACTCTGTAGCAATGTCCTGGTCTGTAGTTCTCATGTTGACTCCCCCCTCCCCCACCCCTGAGGCAGGATTTCTTTGTGTAGCTCTGACTCAGGGCCCTGGTTGTCCTGGAACTCACTCTGTAGACCAAGCTGGCCTTGAACTCAGAGATCTGCTTCCTAAGTGCTGGAATCAAAGGTGTGTGCCACCATCTGTCTTCACTTTGACTTATAATCATCATTTATTTTTTTGCTATGCAGTCTGACTACATTGCCTAGCCTGGTCTTGAACTCTTGGCTTTAAGCAATCCTCCTGCCTCAGCCTCCAAAGTGGCTGGAACTTTAGGCATGTACCATTATACCCTATACCCAGTTTTGCCTTAACTTTTTTTTTTTATTAAACAGTGTTTTCCTCAAACAGTCTCACTCGGTAGCCCAGGCTGGGCAGGGACTTGCTATATAGCCCAAGCAATTCCCTTGTCTGTCCCAAGCACTGGTACCACAGACCTAAGCCACATTCCCAGACTCTTCACCTTGGCTTTTAAAGGCCTTGGTGCTTAAGTCACACCAAAACTGATTCCATACAGACCTCCAGACAGCTCTAGATTTGTCTTTATCAGTGCTATTGATGGAACCCAGGGCCTTTGCGTATGCTTGGTTTAGCACTCTGCCACTGAGTCACACTCCCAGCCCTTGGCTATACATAATTTTAAAAGTTTTTAGAGATGTTTCCATTGTGCCTTGTGATGGAGAACCACTAGGGAAATGGTATTTGTACAGGCTATCCCCCCTCAGCATCCATCCTCCCTTCTCCAAGGGTCTCTTAGGTTCCTTCTGTCCTCAGTTCAAACATCACCTCCTCCGAGAGAAGCCTGCCCAGATCCTCCCACTCTGTCACATTCACAGCTATCTGTTCTCGGTACTTCCCTTCCATTTACAAGCCTACACATTCTGAGACTATTCCATTAAGGTCTCTCTTCCCACAGGGTAAGTTGGACAAGGGCAGGCCACGGCTTGACGCATGTTGGGAACAGAATATCTGTTCGGTGATCGAGTAACTAGTTAGAGAGTAAAGTTCTTTGTGGAAGTCACACCTGTGGGACAGAAAGACGCTGAAACAGGAGGCATTTGACAGGATAAAGAGAGAGAGAAGGGGCAGGACAGATAGAGAAATTGCCTGCCCCTCCTCCGGCAACAGTAGGGACTGTTGGAAACCAAGTTGCCCTGAGTCTAAGGCAGTTCAGCTGGGGCAGCCAGGAATTGGAAACAGTGTCTGTAGATCCTAGACAGGCAGCATATAAAGCGAATCCAGGGTGCGACATCTGGTCAGGACCATAGGGATGATGCCACACAGTAGAAAGGACATAATGGAAGACGCACCCCACCTGCTTTAAGCCTTCCTGAGCTGGCTCACAAGCTGGTCCAACATCACATTAAGCTACAGTTCTAACAAAGAATCAGAATAGAGTTCTGTGGAAAAAGCATAGTCTTGGTTTTGATATTTTCAGATGACTCCAAAAAGACAAGGAGGAACTTGAGAGAGGCATCAGAGCAGCCTTCTGGAATGATCTATGACCTCAAAGCTCCACCAGAGCCATAGCCCCGGAAAGAGGTAGGGCTTTTCAGATATTCAGCTAATTAGTGGTGTGAGTGATATATGAATAATGTTTCACCCGACTCTGCCCCACTCCGATGACAGATCCAAAAACACGGGAGCTCCCAGGTACCATGTTGATTCATTCACATCCTGTCTGGATACAGGAAAGAGTGTCCACATTTATAATCATATTGTTGCAAATTACATCTTAAATTTTGTCTGTATTCCTTCCTCACTCCCATCCCCCCTTCCCCTGTAACCCGAGTAATTACGTCCCTGCCCTCTCCAACTCCAACACCAGCTGGCTCCATGGTGTTGAGACAGACCTGAGGTGGCCTCCCAACAGGATGTGGCAGGGAGCCTGCTGCCACCACTGCAGTTCCCCACCGCTTCCTCTTCCTCCCGGGTGTCAGAGGACATCCAGCATCCTGCCAGCTTCCTGTCATGATGCTCTGAAGGGCACAGCCTGAACTTCTTCGCCCCAGTGTAGCTGTCTTTGGCTACTTTGTGGGGTCTTCTTTTCTCCACCCTTCACAACCCCTTTCCTTCCACCCTTTAACCCCTAATCCTAGATAAAAGAGAAAAAAAGGACAGAGAGGAAAGGAAAGAGATCCCTGAATAAAGTTAGGGGTTGGAAAGGGGGGCAACGTTACTGTTAGACTACTTCCTGCTGATTAGGGGCATTGAGTTCCTTGGCGCAAGCTTGATCCTTGCTGTCTGGATACCTAATTTCTTCTTTGCACACGACTACTTAACTGCAACCTAGCAGAGTGCTAGCATTTATATACCCATTGAGAAGGTCCCAGAATTCCAAACACCATGCAATCACAGAAACTATCTGCAGCTGGCAAAATCATGCCCCTGCTAGAGCACAAGGCAAATCATAGTCAGCTGCTGTGGAAAATCTGAAGCAGCCCCGTATCCAACACCTGGTATTAAAATGAAACCATGATAACATATTTCTGTGTTTTTCTTTTTTCTTTTTCTTTCTTTCTTTCTTTCTTTCTTTCTTTCTTTCTTTCTTTCTTTTTTTTTTGGTTTTGTTTTGTTTTTCGAGACATGGTTTCTCTGTATAGTCCTGACTGTCCTGGAGCTCACTTGGTAGACCATGCTGGTTTCGAACTCAGAAATCTGCTGCCTCTGCCTCCCAAGTGCTTGTGTTTTTCAAAGAAAATGAAATTCCAAAATTCTTACTACACCCCAGCCTTAGTGCCATGCCCTATTTATTGTCAGAGGACCTCTCTCTCCATCTCTCCCGGGAGCTGCCTGTGGGAAGCAGGCCAAGAGGAGAGGATGAGAAGGCAGAGGAACCAGAATGACAACCAAAGGACTGTGTGTGGTTTCAGGAGCTACAGACAGAATCTAGACCACCAGCAAGCTCTGTGGTTTTGAGGAAGTCCAAGGTTCTTAGACATAAAAGGAAGGATTGTGATAGAGTGTCAGACAGAACACACTCTAACTTGTGCTCTCTTGAAAAAGGAGGATTTGATGAAGGAGGGCACAGTTTCTTCTGGAGTGGCTTTGTGGCTTTTTGTTTGATCTGGTTTTTTTGTTTGTTTGTTTGTTTTGTTTGTTTTTTTTTTCTAGGCCAGCCTTAGAACTTCCCATACTCTTAAAGGGATACGGAGCTATATCACAATATCTGGCAGGTTTGGGGCTTTATCAGATTAAAATGTGGGGAGTCACTTCAGAGGCCTGCGCAAACTCTATATTATTATCCAAGTTAAGCAGGGATGTCTCTTCTAAACCCCCACTTGCACTCCCTGCCCCCAGATTGTCACAAAGAGCTGGGAGACTGATCCACTCTCTCTCTGTCCTCTTCACCCCTTCTTCTGGGTAGCTCCTCAGAAAGGAAGGCATTTGAAAGGAAGGAATATGGAGGGAATATCAGTCTGAAGAGATGGCCTACAGTCCTGCTAGACTGCAGGTATAGTCCAGGAAGGACAGAGTGAGTCTCCATAGGGACTAGTCCCTGAGTGGTTCCATCCATCAGATGCCATGGGGGATGAGATGCTGACTCAGCTTTCAAGGTGGTTGGCATCCAGCAGGAAGATGAAACACATCTGTCAAAAGTGAGTCAGCTGGGGGTATAGCTTAGCATTAAAGAGTTTGTATATGAAGCCCTGGCCTGTGTTCAACATCCAATAAAACACACACACACACACAGTGGTCATATCATTTGCTGGGCTCAGTGGCACATGTCTGTAATCCTAGCACTTGGGAAGTAGAAGCAGAAAGACCAGAAGTTTAATGTCATCCTCAGTTACATTGTGAGTTAAGGGCCAATATGAGCCCTTGTCTCAAAAAACAAAAGAAGGAAGGGAGGAAGGAAGGAAGGAAGGAAGGAAGGAAGGAAGGAAGGAAGGAAGGAAAAATGAAGAAAGGAGAGACAGATACAGAGAGATGAGGATGGGGGAGTACTCAGTAGGTAAAGGTACTTACTTAGCCAGGTGACCTGAGTGTGATGCTCAGAACCCACAAGGTAAAGGAAAGACTCAATCAATAAGTCGTCCTTTGACATCCACATGCATGCTGTGGTACACTCATACACACACACACACACACACACACACACACACACACACTAATGGAATAAAAAGGAAAGGGAGAAAGGAAGGGAGGGAGGGAGGGAGGGAGGGAGGGAGGGAGGGAGAGAAGAAGGGAGGAAGGAAGGAAGGGAGGAAGGAAGGAAGAAAGGACACCAATGGTAAGAGCCATAGAGAGAGGACAGTACATCTGTTAGGAAAGGCTACAGTGGTAGAGAGGGGACTAGGCATTACCCTCCCCAACAATGAACTAGAGGCCAGGGAAGGAAAACAAAACTGCTGACTGCTAAATCTCTGGGTTGCAACTCTCAACTGGCTGCACAAACATTTTTTTCTGAGAACCTGCTCACAGTCCCCAGGCCCAGGAAGGAACCTGAGGTCAGATGGGGCCAGGTTTGCAAATACACAAAAGTACAACAGGAGCAGGAAGGTCTTAGTTTGCCACCCACCTTCATATGTATCTACCCCACCACCACGTCTCCAGAATCCTCAGGGTTTTAGCCCTAAAAACTCCAAGGCCCAAGAAAGTTCTTCCCACAGGCAAAACCAGGCTTCCGTCATGCTGGCAGTCACTGACTGGTATCTCATGGCTCCAAGGATTCCCTGTCTTGAGATGCTGTGATGCCCAAGCACAGCTTGAGACAATGGTCCCCAGGTATCCACGGACAACTAACTAAATAAGAGGTAGGGAAGGAGTAGGCCAAAGCAGAAGGACCTTCCACAGTGTGTTCCTGCCACAGTTTACCAGGATCCTCACCTAATTGGTTTTGGTTTTGCTTGTTTGTTTCACATGTTTTCTCTGTATTTCCCTGGCTGTCCTGGAACTCACACTGTAGACCAAACTGGTTTCGAACTCATAGAGATTTGCCTGCCTCTGCCTTCCAAATGCTGGAATTAAAGCCATGCACCAACACCACCTGGCTCTTCACCTAATCTTTTTGTGGCAGTTAGAAAGGCAGGAAAGAAAAAAACCCAAGAAGAGTTTTGAGTTGAGACTGATTCTTCATGGTGTCTTGATAAGATAGAGTCTCAGAGTAAACTTTCCTTTGGTTTAAGGGTTCTAACAGAACAGGACATTCCATGACAACCTCACTATGTGGTGGCAAACATGTTCCTATAAATACAGTAAGAAGAAAGGAATTGTGGAAATTTAAAATATTTCTATTTTATTAAGAAAAAAAGATGCAGCCAGGCAGTGGTGGCACACGCCTTTAATCCCTGCACTTGGGAGGCAGAGGTAGGCGGACTTCTGAGTTCAAGGCCAGCCTGGTCTACAGGGTGAGTTCCAGGACAGCCAGGGCTACACAGAGAAACCCTATCTCGAAAAAACTTAAAAAAAAATGCAATTACAGTTGTGATTCTTTTTGTATAGCCTAAGATTGACCTAGGAATGCCAACTTTATACAGGTGATGTGCATTAAAAGGCCTTACAATGAGCTGACAAGAAGCTAAAAGGACTTAGCTAATCAAATTAAATAGGTAAAACAAGGTAGAAACATAACCAATTTCATCTTCAATGATTGACTCTTAATTTCCTTTTAACAGCTCCTTCCAATATGCCCAATGCAAATAAACAACCTTTCACCACACTGTGTAAGATAGAAAATTCCTCAATGCCTTCTTCTGGGATTAAGATAATGTTTGAAGCCATGAAACATGTTCTTCTAGAAAAAGATTTTAGTTGATGAAATAGGTACCCTTTTCACTGAAAATATAAATGACGTCACTAATGTCATTTACCCTCTCTTTACTTCCTCTGTGTGTTCTCCAGAATGTTAAAACAAAGTTCAGTAAACCAAATCGTAGAGAAATTAGGAAGATATGCAAAAGAGACTCTGGCAGCTTCTAGAAAGAGATACAAAGCAGAGCTCTGTTGGCATCTTCTGTGGCCTCTCTGGGAGACATAGTTGGGAGTGCTACTGTGTAGATCAAGTGAAGCTGCATAAGTCTTACCTGCATATGGGGGGCCTGGGGGCCCTGGAGGCCCTGGAGGACCTTGACGGCCAGGTTGACCAGAAGACCCAGGCTTGCCTGGTGGGCCCATAATTCCACTGTCTCCCTTCTGACCCTAACAGAGAGAAAGATGGAACCCATTGTGATATCATGGCATGACAAAGTTCTTCCTCTACATTGCCTCTAAGTCAGAGACCACCTTGCTCAGAAAAGCAAAAACTCACGGTGGGCGATAACTGGCCTCCAGCTCCCCACTCCTGAGAAGAACAGAGCAAGCAACATTTCAAGTTTGATGACTTCACTAAGTTCATTATCTGTTCTAGAAACATGGCACAGGACAACAGAACCAACTCACCTCACCCTTGGCACGAGTTAGGGAGTGGAGTTTCAGACCAGGATCTGTACAATGTCTAATGTTCAGGTGGCCGAGTTGGACCTATCATTTAAGCGTTCACCTACTTGTTAGGGTTATTTTCATTCTATCAGAAGAGTTGTTTCTACCCAGACTTCCTGCTGTTCTCTTGGGAGAGACATCACTCATTACTGAGCCCAAGAAGCTGGTCATGGCCTGACTCTCCAGCTGAGTCAGAGGTTTTGTTGTTGTTGGTGGTGTCTTGTTTTGTTTTGTCATAACCACCATGATTCTTACCCTGCTTCTCAAATAAAAATCTTCTCTCTTCAAACTCCAAGCTCTTCCTTATGCCCCTCTACCTTCAGTTTTAAGCTCTGATAGCTCAGCAGCAAGATCTCCCCAGGCAATACTGGTTCCTCTTAAAACCTTAAAACGTTCTCTTAAAGCCTTCCTCTTTAAGTTGAGTGGTGAGATGCATCCCTGTCATCACAACACACAACAGGCTGAGGTAGAGGGATTGCTATTAGTTTAAAGGCAGCCTGAGATACATAGTGAGCTATAGTTCTAAGCCACCCAGAGCTACAGTGTGAAACTCAGTCTCAGGAACCAAAACACACACACAAACATACACACACATTCGTGAGCATACCCATGCATACATGCATGCACACAGACAAATATACACACATGCAGGAACATACCCATGCACAAGTGCACTCATGCACACATGGACATGCACAGACACACACACACACACACACATTCACACACACTCGGGCACACATACACACCAGTGTTCTTCTAGCATTTGTTTCAGACCACTGGTTGTAAGTTATTGTGTGATCATTTCATCACTGTCTCCCCGGGAAACATAAGTTCCACGTAGGCTAGAATCTACCATGTTCATCTTCGCTCCCCAGAACAAAGAAAAGGGGAGAACAAAATTGGCAGTGGATGGGGAGGGATTTTTGATGATCTGTCAGTCAAGATATTTTCCCTTGACTGTGAGGCCCTGGGTAACTCACGGTATTGCTTTGTGCCTTGGTTTTGTCTTCTTTAAAGGAGGGCCAGTAAACAGGCATCCACCTCGGTTTTGTGAGGTTAACAAAGATGACAGAAGTGAAGATATGGCTTGTGAAGAATGAAGGGTGATGAGGGACAAGCTGATTGCCCTAGTGGCTGGCCAGTTCATCTTCTCTCATGGGGAAAGAAGTTCTGATTTCCTAGAGCCCTTTGGAGATTCTAGTAGGGAAGTACAACTACCTCTATACTCCTGACCAAACAACAGCCCTCTGTTGGAGAAGATCATCTTCCTTATCCAATCATGTGGCTTTGGAAGAAACACTTGGACCAGTGAGTCCCTTCTCAATAGCCAGACCAGCTAGATCAACCATGATGATCAACCTGGATGACAGATGTCCCAGCCAAATGTCCCTCACACCCAAGAAGTACTGATTTCTTAAAGAAAGTCACACCTGTAGCTACTCTGTTTCCAGTCACTGCATTGATTCAGTGAGATGCTGTCCTGCCAACATGGCCCCAGACACGTTCCTATACTTGTTCCAGAGGACCCATGGGTTTGTTTCCAATTCCACCCTCACAGAAGCTGTTAATCCTCAGGCCAGGGTGAAGTATTCTGAATGGTAACCAAGATGGGTCCCAGGATGGCAAAGGAAGTCACACCAGCTTAATATAGCCAGCAAGGCTTGTTTTTCTAACAGTGAGGCCAGCTGGCTCTGAGCTCAGGAAGTGCACAGCTTGAAGGAGCTGGAAACACTCTTTGACTCTGACACCAGCAGCAGAGGAACTTTCTGCTTCGTTGGTGGTCACTGTGTGGAAGGTGCCATGTCTTTATGGGAGGTTTCCCTGAGCCAAATTAAAGGGAAAGCGTTATTTATTCCTTATCTGCTGAGAACTTAGGTTTCTCTTGAGGAAGCAGTTCTGTATCCTTAACTAGGACTCAGGGCCTTTTGTACACTGGGTAAACATTCTACCACTGATCTATATCCCCACCCCATGAAGGTTTTTAGGATCAAGTCAACAGCAGCTTTCCTAGAGACAAGTCTAATGTGAACTGAAGTCTAAGGATCCTCACTTCAGCCTTGAGGGAACAGCCAGGATGATGAAAAAGCAAGTCCTCTCAGCGTAACCTATGGTCTGGGTGGGCCTCCACGCAATCTATTGCTTCCTTGTTTACTAGAAGATGATGGAGGTATTTTTAGAAGGAATTTAAAAATTCATTAATTTCTAGAATAACAATAAGCTGTACACATTGTGGTTTGACGTTATAAGCAAAGGACAAAATAACTAGATATTGGACATAAAAGAAAAGAAATAATTCTGAACTACATATAACCCTAGCATGTTTGAGACCAGAGTTTGAGGCTAGCCTGGGCTACATGAGACTCTATCTCAAAGCAACAAGAACATAACAGATGGATAAACAAGTAAAGAAATTTTAAAATGAAAGAAGAAAGAATTATGGAAGGTTACAATACCCAAGTCAAACCATAACCAACAACAGGATGGAGATAAAAAAGCCAATGAGCTGAATAGAGTTCAAATATTCTCATTACAATGAAACAGTAAAAATCAGAAGCGATATGTATGTCTAAGAATGGGATTTGGGCACTCTACAATGTAGGTACTGTAGATAATTATATCATTGTCTACCCCATAAAATATGATAACAATTAAAAATGAGAAATGTTTTATATATGTGCAAGAAATAACATTTTTCTTCTAACATACTCAAAATCATTAATATTAAAAAGTATACATATTACAAGTATACATATCACAAGTATAAATATCAATTTTCAACAATTAAGATCATTTACATAAGCTGACTTGTGTCTGTGGGTATGCAAGCAGAGGCCAAAGGTCAACATCAGGTGGCCTCTTATATTGTTCCACACCTTATTTTAAGGCAGAGCCTTTCACTGAACCTACAGCTCGTGGAATCGGCCAGAGTGGTTGGGACTCTGCTGCCCTGGTGCTTGGATTACAGGTGTGAGCTGCCACATTGACCTTTTCACACGAATGCTGGGATCAAGCTCAGTCCTTATGCTTACACGGGAAGAACTTTACCCACCAAGTCCCTGCCCCAGCCCCTAAGTAAAGCTGGATTTCAAATATCTATTCGGGGTGGGGGAAAAAAAGGCAGCTGGGCAGTGGTAACACGCGCATTTGGGAGGCAGAGGCAGGCAGATTGCTGAGGGCAAGACCAGCCTGGTCAATAGAGTGTGTTCCAGGACAGCCAGGGCTACACAGAGAAACCCTATCTTGAAGAACAAAACAACAACAACAACAAAAAGGAAATAGGCTGCCAAGTTATGATGATAATAATAATAAAAAGAAGAAAAATAATGCAGATATAGTAAAGGCCAAGGCCATCCTATGTTACACAGTAAAACCCTGTCTTAAAACAAACAAGCCAAACAAAAAGGTGGCATAGTTCATCTCTCAGATGCATCTGTCCACCATTGAAGGGGCTGTTTTTCTGTGGGCACTAAGCACAGTCCTCGAGCCAGTCCAGGAGACCTCCTCCTCCCTTTCCCAACTGCATAACCTTGCTTGCCCTGCTGACACAGGAGCTCAGAGTGAACAACTTCCGAAACTCTTAACAAACCCAGTGAAGAGGATCACTCCCAAATTAGCGGCTTGTGTAGTTAAAACTGTCACCAGGGCCCAAAAGACCTACTAGCAGCAAGGAAGTGCCTAGGCTGTTCACAGGGCAAAAAAGCAAAATGACTTCAGCCTCCTTCCGTTCCCAGTTGCTTTAGTTAAGACGTATGTGTTCCTATGACCTAGGTGAACTCAGGCCACTTCAAACCTTGGGTGCAGCCTGTAACCTTGAACCATGGCAACCTGGAGAAGCCTGGTCAGTAGTGGGGCTGCTCTGTCCACCAGCCCTGAGGATGCCTGAATCCAGGGCTGTGAGATAGCTCTAGTTGACTCCTGCATGCTGCTTCACACATCTCCAAGCCACAGGGTGTGACCTCAGTGGGAGTAAACCCTGAGGCCCTTACCTGCTTGCCTCGTTTCCCTGGTCTTCCTGTGGGGCCTCGGTGTCCTGCTAGCCCAGATTCTCCCTTTGGACCCATTTCACCCTGGGGAAAAGAGAGGGAAGTGAGAGACAGAGTAGACACATCTATGCTGGCCTCTCCTATCACCGGCTGCCAGCCCCGCTTCTTCATCCTATGTCCTTTCCAGGTAGGGTGATCCCAGGAGCACGGGAGACTGGTGAGCTTACATGCAAGGAACAGTAAAAAAGAAAGCAGGCAACCCCGAGTGTTTGACTTAGTGCTGTAGAGTCATAGGCGCTCTGGTGGTCAAACAGAAGAAACAATCTGGTCCACAGTGGTCAGCGGTGGCTTCTGCATTTTAGTTGCATGTGAGCCTGTGTCACTCCTGACTGAGGAAAAGGCTTTCTTGTCTAGTTGAACAATTACATTTTTAGTACACACTCGCACGTGTGAGTTGGGCTCTTTGATGTGTGGGAACAGTCTTTCCTGATGTAATGTTGGGTATGCTTCTGATTCTTATTTAGGACCTTATAGCTGTCCACTTTTTTTTTTTTGAGATAGAGTTTCATTACATAGCTCTGGCTGGCCTGAAATTTGATATGTAGGCCAGGCTAGACTTCCTAGACATCCACCTTATCTGCCCCCTGTGTACTGGGATTAAAGTATACTCATGTTCATGTTCATCAGTTCTTTACAAATCAGTAAGTATTATTTTGAGTTCCAGCTCACTTCTACATATTTAGGAAACTCTTTCTGAGATAGGGACTCCTGTAGCCCAGGCTGGCCTCTACCAGTCTATGTAGCTAAGGATGACCCTGAAATACTCCTGCCTCTATTTCCCAAGTGTAGGAGTTGCAGATATGTTCCACTTTGTCCAGCTCAGATGAAAAACCCTTTTTGTGAGAAGAGATGCTTCAAGTATTTGTCCAAATAGTCACCACAGAAATATTAAAATATGGAAAACTATGTAAATTACATTCCTAATTGAAAATATCTCTTTCATAGTTCTAGGCTAACCTTTTACAAAAATTATTTTTTAGACTGTCAAAATGGGTTTGGGGAAAAAGGTACTCCCTGTTGAGCCTAAAGACCCAGTAAAAGAGAAGCAGCTCCTACATTTTGGCATGTGTAACACACACACACACACACACACACACACACACACACACACACACCTGTGTGTACTTCTGGGGATGATGGACCCATGGAGCACATCATTTCTACTTTAAAAAATTGCCCTGCATCCCAAACTGTGCCCCCAACAGAGCCAGAGTAGCAGTTGCTACCAGGGAAGTTTCTGTTTATCAATAGCCAGTGCTCATGAAGGGCCACCCTAGACACTCAGAGGGAGCAGTAGACACCCAGGCTCCTGTCATGTGATGCTAACACCATGGGGAATTCCAGAGGAGACCAGTAGCTGCTGAGGACCAAGGCCAAGCTGACCTTTTTTGGCTTAGCAACGGGATGAACCTGTCCCTCTCCAACTCACTCAGCAGTTAAGAGGACCCAAGTTCAGTTCCCAGCATCTATATCAGGTGGCTCACATGGCCTGTAACTTCAGGCAGTTGTGAGTTGTCACAAAATTTCTAACTCCAGGAGGATCCAAGACCTCCCACCTTCACAGGCACACATACATGCAGGCACACACATACACACAAATACAATTAAAAATAAAACTTTAAGAAAGAATTTTCCTTAAGTTCATATAGTCTTTCTAACATGTTAGGGGTCAATGGCTCCACACGGCCATGGAGATGTTGTCACAACCCCCCTGGGCTGTTTAGAGGGGCCCAAAGCATATCTTGTTTGGCCAGGAGAAAACATCAGCGTATAAAAAATATGAATTTTTAAAAAGAGGTCTTTGGAAGGAAGTGTGGCTCTTCTCTTTACCAGCTGGAAGCAGCTAGGGATTTCTTGATCTAATTTCTCTCCTAAGACCTAATTACAGATATCATATCAGCTCTGTCTTAAAGCAGCCTGCCACGAAACGGGGAAGATGGTGCCTTCTACATCAAGCCTGGTAAATGGCGCAGAAGCCAGAGAACCTGTCAAATTTAATTTTATAGTGACCTATGAGTCTTTGATGGTCACTGTTTCAGGGAATGAAAATCTAGATTAAACATCTTAAGGTACTTTCTTCTATTTTGAAGTTTGCTTTAATTTGTTTATATGATTACTCTATTTTTTTTAATTTTTATTTATTTATTTATTATATGTAAGTACACTGTAGCTGTCTTCAGACACCCCACAAGAGGGCATCAGATATCATTGCAGATGGTTGTTAGCCACCATGTGGTTGCTGGGATTTGAACTCGTGACCTCTGGAAGTGCAGTCAGTGCTCTTAACCACTGAGCCATCTCACCAGCCCATGATTACTCTATTTTTAAAGTGTAGTGTCTTGCCTAGGGTGGCAGGAACTGAGTTTCTGACAGGTTAAGGTAAGGACAAGTTGTAGTGACTTGCGTAAAGACCCATGGCTGTGTACCATTGGATGAAATTGCTTTACTTTAGAAAGTAACACTTTAAAGTGAATTTTTAAAAAATTAAAACTACTAAGAAAACATTCGTTTGCATATTTGAAGCATTTCAGTTTATGACCTAGGTAAAGATAACAACTTCCAGTGTCAATGCCTGACAACACGAGGATCCATCCAGCATTGCCATGTGAGCTTGTGAGGTGGTTCAAGTGAGAACAACCTCCATGGGCTCATGTATTTGATTGGTTGGTCACCACTTGGTGGGACTGTTTGAGAAGGATTAGGAGGTGTGCTCTTGGAGGAGGTGTGTCATTGGGGGCGGGCTTTGAGGTTTTAAAAGACTGTGCCATGTCCAGTGTGTTCTTCTCTCCCCCCCCTTCCCTCCTTCTCTCCTTCCTATGTATCTATGTATGGATCTAGATGGAAGCTCTTAGCTCTTCCTGATGCTGTGCCTTTCCTCCCCTGTCATGGACTCTAAGCTTCTGAAACACACACACACACACACACACACACACACACACACACACATATATGAAACTTGTCTAGGTCATGGTGTCTTATCACAGCAATAGAAAAGCAACCATGTTATCTTAGGAGCTGTTTTGGCAGGGCCAGTACCTTATAGTACTGAGGAACCAGCAGCACCCTGTCAACTTAGGGACTGTTCTACATGGTCAATGTTGTATATTACGAAGATCCAGCATTCCAAGCCAGCTTAGGGACTGTCTTACATGGTTAATGCTTTACATCATGAGGACTCAGCATTCCATGTCAGCTTAGGGACTGTCCTACATGGTCACTTATGCATTTCTTTCTTTATGCTGTGGCACCTTCCCTTGTCTAACACCCGACCTTACTCCATATCCTCAATCTAAATAAAAGCTTTCTGAAATCTTGCCTGTCTATTGCCACCTTCACATTTTTTTTTTTTGAGACAGGGTTTCTCTGTGTAGTCCTGGCTGTCCTGGAACTCACTCTGTAGTCCAGGCTGGCCTCGAACTCAGAAATCCACCTGCCTCTGCCTCCCAAGTACTGGGATTAAAGGCGTGCGCCACCACTGCCCGGCACATTTTTTTTTTTTTTGTTATATCAGTACATCACCCTGTGGTTCTTTACTAAATAATTTTTCTTTAATAACTAAATCCATCTCCTTTTAAAATTAGGCCTGTCCCAAGTGTGATACTGAATATCTCACTATTTAAATAAAATTGTTGTCATCTGTTTAAAATAATCCCGTGTTCCTTCAGTAGTGTCTGCCACCCTTGAAGATGGTACTGAGTGTTCAGGAAGAGGTGACACTAAATTAAACACATCCCTCAGGGTCTGAGAGATAAGAGGGTCGTTGACCAATGTGGCTCAGATAGGAGATAGGAGTCGCTCCTCACAAAACTTTCAGCTTTTAACTCTTTCCATGGAGCTTCAGGAGGTGGAAGAAGGGGGACCTCTCTCCATGGGGAGTATGGGAGGAGAGTGGGAATAGTCTTTCCCCACTAAACTGGAGGTTGACTTCAGACCATAAGACACCATATTCCCCATCTCAAACTGGAACGTCCCACAATTAAAATCAGTTTCTCCTGCCAGGCAGTGGTGGCGCACGCCTTTAATCCTAGCACTTGGGAGTCAGAGGCAGGTGAATTTCTGAGTTCGAGGCCAACCTGGTCTACAGAGTGGGTTCCAGGACAGCCAGGGCTACACAGAGAAACCCTATCTCAAAAAAATAAATAAATAAACAAATAAATAAATAAATAAAATCAGTTTCTCTGCCTGAAGGGCAAAGAGGAGGGACTGTTTGCTATGTCTGGAGGGCTTGAGGTCTAGTCTTTCTACTTCTAGATACTCACTTTCTGCCCCAACATTCCAGGAAATCCAGGGAAACCCTGTGAAAAGAACAATAAATGCCGTGACTGTCTTGAAATACCACTTGGAAGAGCTGTGGGTGGATTGGATCAGCCATTTCCAAGATGAGTGCCCTCTTGAAATGCTATCAGTCCGTAGGCCGGGGCCGCGGGAGCTGACTTCTATCGAAGGCTAACAGTTGTGCAGATTTTACATTACCTTTTCTCCTTTGGGACCCAAGTCACCCCTTTCACCTCTGGATCCCTAGGAGAAAAACAAAAGAGAGGATCAATGGTCTAATACCGCATTGTGTTGGGGTTTGTGGTGAGGGGGTAGTGATAGGAACATTTCAAACTGAAAAACAAACTAAGCCAACACCCTCACTTTTGCAAAGCTCTTTATAATAGGTGGCTTGCCCACTAAAGAAATGCTTTCTATTTAGACTCCGGAGACCTCCTAACATTAGTTAGTAAAGGGAAACTCACAGAAAGTTCTGGGTCTCTGGTCCTTATATTTGGCAGGACTTGTATCCTCAGGTGCTGGCTGGTATTTGTTTGGTTTGGGCAGGTGAGAAGGCTTGTGGTAGAAACCTGGCCCGAGGACAAATCCTCTTCTTCCACTGCCCCTTTGCTGACTGACCTAAGCCCAAACTCTTCCGCTGCCTGCCAGCTCCCATTTGTTCCCCTGGTCCTTGTGTGTGTGTGGGGGGAGGGGTGGGGGGGCAGGGGGCAGGGCATGATCCTCACTGGGAGCACTTCTTTACCAAAACTGTCCTGACTCGGGAGGCCCTTCACTCCTCTCTCAGCCTACACAGGAAGTGGACAAAGGAATAGCTGGGAAGAAGAACTGCAGCTGACGACTGAACAGAGGGCTGGGTCTGTCTGCCACCCACCACCAACTCCTGAGCTTCGTCCAGACTGGGATCTGGGGTGGCTCGAGAGAGGAGCACTGACCTTTTCCCCTCTGGATCCAGGGAAGCCCTAAAAGAAAGCAGGCAGATGTTTATACTCAGCCCCTAGGACAGCCAGGGCTGTAGGAATGGGGGGAGTCCCTGAATGTGTTGCTGAGGCTCCGCACTGCATTGTGAGTTCTATGGGACATGTGGCAGTAAACACGAAGCTATCCAAGAGGCTGTGCTTGTAACAGGTCTACAAACAGCATAGTTTCTCTCAGCTCCCAAATGCCTAATCCAGAGCCATAACCCTGATCGCTGCAGAGAGCGAGAACTGGACCCCAGTGTCCCGGCACCTCAGGGAATGATTCTCCCCAAAGGGCTGACTCCCCAGCACAGTGACAGTGTCTCAGAGCTGCCCTCCCCAGCTCTGTAGCTCCTCAGTGCTAGTGAGACCTGGGGATGGCCATATGCACCACACACTGACCTTAGAGCCCATCGGTCCTCTTGACCCTGGCAGGCCCATCATACCCAGGTCGCCTTTTTCTCCCTGTGGCAATTAGAAGATGGAAAAGAAGACCCACGATGATATCTTTCAGAGAAGCAGAAGCAGAGTTGTCAGGGAAGCTGGGACAGAACCAGGGTACTGGGGCTGAATTGGGAATGTGAATTCCATATGCCCCTTTGCCTCCTCCCAGGGTTCTACTTTCCACTTTTCACTGTGGTCCTCGAGATTAAACAGAACAAAAATGCCCTCGGTGGACAGATCGCCAAACTAAATACTCACTAAGGTGTTGTAAATGGTGATATTTGGTCTTTTCCTGGAAAGGGTTGTGAGAAGGCAGGGGAGACAGTGTGAGGGCCTCAGAAGGTAGGCTAGCCCACATATAAATTCTTTGCCTGCTTTGCTTTTTGCATAGGGAGGGTCTTTCAGATATCTCATTACACTCTCACCCTCAGTTTGAAGGCAAGTAGAGGGAAAATCAGCCTCAGGGCATCTATAGCAGAGGAAGGTGGTGGACGTGTAAGATGTACTCCAATTGTCTCTATTACAATTGTGCGCCACTTCTAACTGCTGTTGGGGGGTTAATCTGTGGTGTTCATTTTGGGCTTTGCTTCTGTTGATTTGTTTAGTTTGGGTTTTTTGTTTTATTGTTTTGTTTTTTTAGGCAGGGTCTCATGTATCCCTGGCTATTACGTGAGAATTCAGGTGATGATGACCTTAAACTAATGCTCCCCCAGCCTCTGAGTGTGAGGATTATAGGAAATATTGTCACCATGCCTGGCTACATATTCTGAATTGCAAGTGTCTTTATAAATTACATCAAATGGGGCTGAAGAGATGGCTCAGTGGTTAAGAGCACTAGCTGTTCTTTGAGAGGTTTTGAGTTCAATTCCCAGCAACCACATGGTAGCTCACGACCATCTGCTATGGGATCTGATGTCCTCTTCTGGTGTCCATGAAGACAGAGAACTCATATACATAAAACACATACACAAATAAATCTTTAAAAAGAAATTACATTAAATGTAAAACTAAGCTAGTGAAATTAATTTTGCCAGTATTTTACTTTCATTTAATCGTCACTTCAACATGTAATCATGATACAATAATATTTTAAAATTACATTTTATTTACTCTGTGTGTGTGTGTGTGCACGTGCACTCGTGAGCACTCGCTCACATGCATGCAACCCACAACACACATTGGAGGTCAGAGGACAACTTATGGAAGTCAGTTCTCTCCTTTCACACATGGGTTCCAGGGATGGAACTCAGATTGTCAGGTTTGGTGGCAAACACCTTCACTGACTGATATCTCCCCAATCTAGAATAGTTGATATATAGGTCTTCATTTATACTAGTCACATTTCAAGGGTTTCACAGCTATTTGTGGTTACCATGATGGACAGCTTAGCTCTCTATAGCAGGGATTTTGTTTTGAGTCAGGATCTTACTCTAGTTCAGGCTGACCTGGAACTTACTTTGTAGCCCAGGCTGGCCTCTAACTCATAGTGATTCTACTTCAGCCTTCTGAGTCCTGGGTTTGTAAGTATGAGGAACCATGCCTGGCCATACAATAAATTGAAAATTGCCTGTATGTATGCATGTGCACCATGTACAGGCCTAGTATCTACAGAGGACAGAAGAGGGCACTGGATGCCTTGGAAGTGGAGTTGCAGATGGTTGTGAGCCACAGTGTAGGTGCTGTGAACTGACCACAAGTCCTCTGCAAGAACAACAGTCACTATTAACTATGAGCCATCTCTCCAGCCCAAGTTATAGTGGTTCTTTTAAGAGAAATTTCCTTGGGACTTTTTTGTATTACCAAGGCAGCCAGTAAGGCAGAGCAGCAGAGGATACTTGCTTGCCTTGCCCTGGCTTCTGCTAGTCAGATCTTCAAATCATGACTTCCTCGGCACCCTGCAGTCTGTGACAGGCAGCAGGAACATAAGACAAAGGAAGATAGGGCTGTGTTTGCTTTGTGTACTCTCTCTGAGGAGTAGACTCTGCATCCTCCCAGCCTGCCTATAGTCCTGGACTTTCTACCTGCCAGATCAGTGGGACAGGTGAGAGCTTCCCAGATCCAAGTTCCCTTTGGGTCATCTCAGAGAAATCAGACTAGTACGCTCATTTTTAGGACAAAGGCGAAGTGGGCATCCTGGGAAAGAAAGGAACAGCCCCCACTTCTCCACAGGAGCAGAGTCACAGCACTGACCAAGGTTTGCAGGCCACATGAAGGAGAAGCACTTGGGGGCTGGGAGCTTCATTCCAGCTATTTCCCTCTGAAGGAGATAATGTGTTCAACTGCTGGCCAGGACCCAGGGTAGCCATCTTCCCCTCTGATTCTTATACTACATGAGCCCCAAACATATATGACACTTACCCTGGGTCCTTCAGGGCCTGGCCAGCCAACAGGCCCAGGCATGCCAGGAACACCTGGGGCTCCAGGTCTACCCTTCAAAGACCAAGAACAAAAGTCAAGATACCTCGGTATGCTTCCCACCAGTCAAGAATATCTAGGGTCCTGATAAGAGTATGGGACCACCAAACATGGGCCCTTGCACCTTCATTTCTACCCTACAAAGAAGGAGGGCTTAAAAACCCATGTCAAACACATGAGTTTAGATTTTTAATGTCATATTACCAAACAATGTTTTGTTCTACTCAAGAAATAGAGAACAGTGGACAGAGGGATTCTAAACTTCTTGGTCTCTCAAATTTCATTACCTCTATGGAGTATACCCATTGTGTCTTGCTTCCTGTGGGCTCTCCACAGATTGTCCTGTAGCATGAGCTGGGACTGTGTTAGGGGCAGCACCAGATGCTGCTGGAACTACCTCAAGAGCATTTTGCCTGCTTGCTGCACCGTCCCTCAGTGGCTACACTGTTGGCTTCTATAAAAGCCTGCAGCCACGAAATTCACTATGGGGCACTGGAGCTTCCCAGTAACTTATGAACCTTCCCTTTCTATACCCAACCAGCAAGGCGTCAAAGAAGGACAAACAGACAGGCTCTCCACACACCCAAGTTCAGGCTGCTGGTGTTGGACTTCCCCTATGCACACTCTCATGACATCTTTCTCCCCTCTTTAAAGGTTCCTCCTGCCAGTGTTGCTTCATAATCTATTCACTTGTACATGTCTCTGCCTCCAGAGAACCCCATCTCAACTAAGGGTTATAGAAGAACGACCTTCGTGAATGAGGGTGAAAGCATAGACTGGGGTTGGGTGTGTCTGTCTTGAGCTCTACACTCAGTGGCTCACTTCATAGTTAGCTAGGAACTCAAAAGACTCAGCCGAGAGCTCAGAGATGCCAGATGCTGACGTGTACACGTTGCTTTGCCTTTCATGCTCATGGCAGACGTTACTAATCAACACAGACCTTGATGCTTCAGAGCATGGGACCACCACAGGGTTCTCTCCAGACCAGCATTCAACACAGTCACTAAGCTGTGGTTGGTCTTGTTATTTGGACCTTGCAAAGGTCTGTTTGTGGCTTCTGTTGATAATAAAGCCACTGGCATCATTTAGGATGATTTGCTCTTCCTTCAATCCCAGTCAAGACCTAGAATTTAAGAGACACTACCAACTGACCTCAGCGATATTGCCTGCTGGCTCTTTCTCTGATGCTAATGATGGCATGTGGCTGGTTCACTCAGAGCCACTGTAATGTCCAAAGCAAAGCCATTTACTCCTGTCTGCTCAAGCACTTAATTCCAGTTTAACGAAGGTCATTTTGTGCCACCGGTTGGGGACTTGAAGAGTCCCCCGTTGGGTGGCAGGATGAAGCTTCGGAAGTGTGGCCAGGCACAGCAGCCTCTGGAAGAAGTTGGTCAGATGCCTAGCAGCCACAGGTTCCAGCTCTTAACCAAAGTGTTGGCAGAAAAGGCAAGCATGCTGACATCATCAGCAGGGTGTCAGCACCAGAGCCCCACCAGGGTACCAGTTGCCACTGAAAAAACTTGCGTGCACATGAAAGACAGTTACGGGACAGAACAGCATGGGTCCTACCTTCCTTCCTGGGCGGCCAAGATCCCCCTGTGCATAGAGAAGACAGACAAAGGTTGTTTGAAAGAGAAGTTCTGGGATCAGACAACTTAGTAGGGCTGAGGCCTGGACGTGCTGTGGCTCAGTCAATCAGTTGGTCACTTGACTAGTTATAGCATGCCTGCCATGCCAGTGGCCTGAAGCAGGACACACTAATAGCACCCCTATTATAGCTGCATCCATTCATTGGGGAGCCCTCCTCATCTGCTAAGACAGAATGAGCTCATATTTTGAAATCACAACCATAACGTTCTCATCAGTGGCACAGCCAGAAAGCAAGCAGTGACTGTCAAGGCAAGAGAGGGCTAAGAAAGCAGCCATTCATACCTTTTCTCCCTTTGGTCCTGTCTTGCCAGGAAGCCCAGGTGGACCCTACACAATTGAGAGAAGAGGTGAAGAAAACATACCTGACCAAGGCGAGACTGCAGGGGAGGGTTTGTGGTGGGGGACTGCGTCACTGGACCTTTACAGAGCAGGCTGACTGTGTGTGCATGTGTGTGTGTGTATGTGTGTGTGTGTGTTGGGGGAGGGCTCCAGGGACCCCTGCAGGGACCTCTCAGCCCTGAGGTCCACTCTTTGGACTTTAATTTTCTCCCTAGAACATTTGGTGTTTAATAAGAGCAGCCTCAGAGTTGTGGAGAAACCCCATTGCAGAGGCCATGGTGCTTCTTGGCCTCAGGGACCCTTCACTACTCTGGCTACCCTTCTTTGGGCCCTGCCAGGAAGGAAAGTTGAATTCTGCATGGACAGCAGCTGATTCTGATGTCCTCAGGGAGGATCTGGGCTTGGTGCCCCACTCCTGTAATCTCAAAACTTGGGATGGAGACAGGAGGATCAGGAATTCAAGGCTAGCTTTGGCTGTCCAGCAAGTTCATGGCCAGCCTGGACTACATGAAATCCCGTCTTATATTTAACAAATGAAACAAAACAAAAGATAAAAAAGATTTTCCCACAAATGGCCTGAGGGCTCCAGGTGCAAAATAATCCTCTCCTCCCAGAACTTTCATTAATGGAAGGAAAAGCACATGCTACATTGTTTACAATGGCTCTGTTGTGGGAGACAGGAGGCTCCAGTAGAGGTTGTAAAAAACCGCCAATGTTCTGCACATTCACAGCCAGAAGCGGTTGCTTTCTGCTTTCATATCTCTGGAAAGCTCATGACTGTTTTCTAAATTCTTGGGGCTAGCAGAGAGAAATCTACCCAATCCCTTGGCCTCCAAACCCCTTCGGTCTGCAAGTGACCAACACAACAGCCTGTCAGAAGTGTGGTTTCTCCAAAACCTGCCCAAATGATCCTGTTGTCATGTTACAATTTCACCGGGATCCCAGACCAATCACATGACCGTCTGGGGCAGTGGGAGTCAGAGAGCTCTGAGAGTGTTTGAGTTCCCCAGGGATCCTCAGGTGAATATACAGTTGGGAGAAACCACCTTGGATTATCTGCCTTCTGATTTAGGAGGTAAGGTTGGGAAATTATTTTCTATTTCCAAGCCTTTTGTTTCTTGAAATGGTTTACAAGATCATAGACCTTAGCACCCACTGGTTGGATGGGGTTGTGTGTGTGTGTATGTGTTTCTCCTTTCCTTTCTCCCTCCTTTCTTCCCTCCCTCCCTCCCTCCCTTCCCTCCTCCCTTCCTTCCTTCCTATGATAGAAGTCTTATCCTGGCTGGCCTGGTACTCATGGCTAACTCAAGGCAGTCTTCCTGCCTCTATCTGCTGAGTGCTGGGGTTATGGGCCTAAACCAATGCACCCAGTGAGATTTCTAACCAGTTCCCATATGATTCTACTTAGAGATCTCACATTGCATAGACAGTGGGTGGGTGGATAGTGGAGTCTCTGTGACTCAGACTTGCAGGAGCTCGGAGGTGCACTAGTATGACTGGAACTGCTGTTCTGAGGTGGCCATAGGACCCCTCCTTCCACATTCTTGGTTGGTTCTCATGGACATCAAGACCCATCACAGAAGGGTGCTGAACGGGGTAGCCCACGTTAGAGTACACTCACCTGGCTTTTCTGCAGACTTCCCAGCCCCTTTACAATGGTCTCTGGCTTCTGAGCTCAAGGTCCCATTTTCATTATAACATCTAACAGATGCTTTTATTGTTTGTTTCCTTATTTACTTTGTTTTTGAGATAGGGTCTCTTACTACATAGCCCAGGCTAGTCTTAAACTCAGGGTCCTCCTGCTTCAGCCTCCCAAGTGCTGAGATTACAATTATGTTATCAACCCGGGTCAATAAATGTTTGTGAAGAGCAGGCTAGTTATAGCCCACAGGTTGGGTGGACTAGGACGTGGAGTGGACGCTATCACTGTCCCATACACAGGGGATCAATAAAGATCCTCTACAAAGCCAGAGAGTGATTCTCTTAGGCTTGGAGGGCCACGTCTGCTGTCAGACTCCTCAGCATCTGCCCTGATGGCCTGGAAACAGCCACAGACAGTACAACTAGTTAGAAAAACAGGTGGACTGGATCCAATGCCATAGCTTTAGACTTGGTAATTGTGAAAGGCATTCCTCTCCCCCTCCTCCTCTTTTCTCCTGTACTCTCCCCTCTCCTGTCCTCCTCTCTTTTTCTCTCCCTTCCTCTCCCCTCTCTTCCTCTCCTCTGCTCCCTGAGGTAGGGTTTCATCCTATACCCCGAGCAGTCTTGGAACTCATATAATGAGTTCCCATCTAGTCTCAAACTTATAGTAATCCTCCTATCTCAGCTTCCTCTGAGTTCTGGGGTTAGAACTTGTGTGTCACCATGCTTGGCTGAGAAAGGCATCCCTAGAGAGGGAACATGGAAACCAGCCTCCGAGAGACTAGGAGGAACAAGTCAGAACTTGAGCAGGGCCCTAGAATGTGTAGGCCGAGGCTGAGGCAAACGTGTTGTGTGTGGGGAAGAGAGGCAGACATTGTAGCTAAATTTAAGGTAGAGGGTGTACGAGCAGTCCAAGCCAGAGTCCACTCATGGAACTTTGTCTTCCAGGTCAGGAAGTTTGGCTTTTAGTCCCCTAACACGAGGAAGCCATAAGAGGTTCACGTAGCTGAGTGGTGATTTCAATGCTTCCTGTCTAGGACTGCATTTGAGACCTACAAGCTCCTGGCACCCTCTTTCTCCCCCACTGCCACATGGAGGACCCAGAGCCTCAGAGCAGTTGAAAACGCCCTTATGGCAGCAGATCAGCCTGGGAGGAGGGGGTGGTCTCTGGAGTGCAAAAGTGATTTCTCTAGCTGCTTGCTTATTCCTCGCTCTTCTCTTTTACCTCGGTTGGAGGTGGCTTATGCTTGTAGTAGTCCAGAGCCCAGGAAAGCTAAGGCAACTGGTCCCTCAGACGGCCACTTTCCTGAACTGAGCACGAATCCTTCTTGGTCCACAGGTGGGGTGGATGGTCATGTTGATACTTGATGACAATAACAACAGCCACTACCATATAAGCAGCATCCTCAAATACGATAGGAGACCCTCAAATCTATCACGGCAGGCTGCACAGGTAACAACAGCCACTACCATATAAGCAGCATCCTCAAATACGATAGGAGACCCTCAAATCTATCACGGCAGGGGCTGCACAGGTAACAACAGCCACTACCATATAAGCAGCATCCTCAAATATGATAGGAGACCCTCAAATCTATCACGGCAGGCTGCACAGGCAAGGCCAGATTCACCCAGAAACTCTTCAGGGTGCTGAGGCTGGAGAGAAGCTACAGAAGGAAAACCAACCATACAGTACATTGCAGGGCAAGACTATGAGGCTCTGTCCGTTGCTTATGGGAAGACACAAGAGGGGGCCCAGAAGGGTGAACTTACCTGGGGCCCAGGGGGCCCAGGAGAGCCGAGCGAGCCTTGAATACAGGGTGATGGTGAGGCCTCAAGTTCCAGAAGATTCTTCATGTCTGGGGAGAGAAGCTTCAGAGGAAAGCGACAACGGGTTAGAGGTCAGACGGATGAAGGAGTTGCCTCCCTGGGCTTTCCCTTGCTCTATTTCTGTGCAGTATGCTCTTTTCCTCCTAGTGTTTCTTTTCCTTGTAACAGACTATAGGCATCCTGATGCTTCATACCTAATTTTGATACCTGTCATCTAGCGTCTCTCTATCCTGCTTCTCTTTTTCTATCCTCCACATCCCATTTCTGTCTTCCTTTCTTTCATCCTTGTCCCTACTGCAGGGATTTCATGAATATTTGATTAAAACAAACAAAAAACAAAGAAAGAAAAGAAAAAAGAAAATGGGGGATTCTGTAGCTGATGGGGATTTGGAAACTATGAATGCACCTTAGTGTTTTTAAAACGGTGAGCCATCTTGCTGCCAAGCCTGATCCCATCTAACTCCAGACAAGAAAAAACTCCCTTCTTCACAGACTGAGCACAGCAAGGGAACAGATGTCTGAATCAATTGGCACAATTGGCACAATGCCCACTCCAGGCCACTGTCCTTGAGTGACATTAGCGCTGCCCCTCTTCAATGGGATTCTAAGGTGGCCATGTTGAACCAGGTATGAGGCTGACATGGAGTGGTCTGGAAATCTTTACTCACCCAAGTCCAGAGTACTTACCGGGCTTCGGCTGCCTCTGAAGAATGGCGGTGGGAAGAGTGGGGGTGGCGGGGGCATCAGTAGGCAGCATGCCTTGTGGCTGCCCCGCTTCTTCTGATCCAGGCCAGGAAGGGCTGTTCAGAGAAAACTGCTGCTCCTTAGCATGGGGTTGGGATGACGATCTGTGTCATGCCCACCATGCCCAAGGGACACGGACATGGTCACCTGAGATTGGAGCAGGCCCCTGTTTGTTGCCTCAAGGCAACAAAGACACACATAGACCCTCTCTTGCCTCTGTCGAAGGGAAATGGCCCAGACATTGTGTGTGAGTGTCCTTTTCTCCTTCAGAGTCTAACTCTGTAGGTGTGGCAAGGAATGCAGAGTTTAGACAGACCTGTCATGGCTCCACAGCTGGACAGGGGAAGTGGTGTGATACTGTTCTCTGGAGGAAACTGTCTAGACAGAGAGGTAACCAGGGATAGAGGCAGTGTTGACTCCAAGGTACCAAGAGCCATGGTTTGAAACAGATCCTATATTCTCATGAAGATGCTCCATCTTGCTAACAAGTCCCACTTAAATGTCTCAACGTGTAGGTGACCAAATCCCCAGCACAGGGAGGTGAATGGGCCACTGGACTTCTATAGCTTTGAGTTTTACAGAGTCTTATCTGTGTTTGGCCTTAATATATGGTCAATGTTAAGGTATGTAAAAAGATGTAGACCCCCACACTACAGTACAACAGAGTTCTACAAAGAGAACAGACCTTAGACGACAGCACCTAAGAGCTAGAAAAACCCTGCCAGCTTCGGAGGCCTGTAAACTCTAGCCTCCATGTTCACCACAACATCGCTGGATCTTAACACCAGGGATGCATCATGAGGGTGTTTGTATTTTATGCAAATTGAATCTTACAATGTGAATGTCTATGTCTGTCTTCTCTTTCTCGACACAGCATTTGAGGGAGTGGAGCGGGCTGTAATTACAGTTCTTACAGAGTTCTGCCACGTGGCTAGATCATGATGCTCTTACCCATTCTTCGAGCATCACTGGTGTGCATGAGGTGATAATTGATGCTCACCTACCAGGGTGGCTACGATGAAAAGAGCAGGAGAAAAATATGGCAAGGAGCGAGGACAACCAGAAGCGTTGCCCTAGTCTAGAGGGTGGGAATGGAGGCTGGTGTGGTCTTTGGGAAATTGTGTTTTCTATTGAAGCTGAAGATACATAGAGATTCTGTACAGCTCAGCAATTTCACGTCTAGGAATTTACCAACAGAAAGGGTAGGCACACTAGAATGCTTGTAGCAGCAATATTTAAAAAAAAAAGCCAAATTTTTCCAGTTCCTAGCTTGGGCCTCAGATTCCAGGATATATCACAGAACAAGCCTAGGTGGGCCTCCTCATGCCTCTCATCCCTGAGCTCTATGTCAAATCTTATCACTAGGAAGCTCTCCTTCACTCCCAGGTAAAGCTTCAGGGGCCTTGCTGTGCTTTTTTCTGGGTTTATCCCTGTGTCCGTGCTTCTCCATGGGCTCAATCTGTTTCCTCCTTTCTCTCAGCATACACTGCACTCCCTGGAAGGTGCGGAAGGGACCAGTTTTTATCCCCAGGGTCTAATAGTGTACCTGTTAGACACTAGACCTCCATAAATGGTTGATGATTTAACAATTTAGTGACAAATACTGACTACATACAAGACACCATTTGTGTTCTCCACGGAGACAAGCTGCCAAGATGGCTAGTGGGGAAAGGCACTTGCTGCCAAGCCTGATGACCTGAGTTCAATCCCTGGCCCCCCCCATGGCGGAAGGGGAGAACTGACTGCCAACACTACCATCATTTTTCCTACTGTATTGGCAAGCTAACCAAGCCAGTGAGTCAAACAATTTGCCTGAGATCATACTGCCAGTCAGCAATGGAGCTACACTTATACACAGGCAATCTAGTTCCAGAGCATTCTCTTTTGAACTCTGACCCCAGATGGGTAAAAATTAAGACTAGGACCTAGGAAGGAGGCGGGGGCCTCCTATAACCCTACTTGAGACCACTGAGTTAATGCCTTCCAACCAAAGGTTACCAGGGACAAATCCAAAGAAGAACCAAATTGGGTTTGCTGCTTCATGGCAAGAAAGGAGAACACACTCAGAAAGAACCAGAAGGGGCAAAGAGAAACTTATTCTAGGATTCCGGCCCCCTGTGGATTTGTGGAGAAGCTTGTGAAAGGCAGTGTCTGATTTTGCTTTGGAGTCGCTGCTGCCAAGCAGAATGGGTTGTTCTACAGTCAGCTTGCACAGTTCTTCTCTGGGAAAAGAGGATTGGTGTAAAGCAAACGTTGATTGGTAAGAAGCAGTCACATTCAAGGGTGAGGATGGGATTTTGTGGTGGGATATTCTTGGCTTTTGTCTGTTTTTTCATGACGTGGGGGGTATTCTTGCTTTTGCCCTGATCAATCAGGATCACAGAGTGGTCTGACTGAGGCTGAAGTCTATGGAATTATGTGCCACAGGGATGCCATGCACACTGAGCCTGAACAGCTCCAAGTGTCATGGCCATTGTTCTCCCTTCCTCCCTCCCTCCCTCCCTCCCTCCCTCCCTCCCTCCCTCCCTCCCTTCCAAGTTTTAATTCATGTGTATGAGTGTTTTTACCTGCATGTACCTCTGTGCAGAAAGTGCATACAATGTTTGAGACAGCCAGAAGAGGGCATCTCCCGTAGCTGGGGTGATAGCCTCCATGTGGGTGCTGGGATTTAAACCCTGGACCTCTGGAAGAGCAGCCAGCACTCTTAACTACGGAGCCATCGCTCCAGTCTCCACTGTTCTCTTTCTTGGTTTGATAGTTATGTTTCTAAACTTTATCACCAGCTCTTGGCCAGCATTGAGAAGCCAGGAGTAGACAACTGCAGCTTCCCCATGCTATGCTGGGCCGTTGAAGAGAGTGACAGGTATGCACCAGCCACTGAAGCTGAGCCCCCTCTAGATCCAGTGTCCCATATCTCCCTTTGCCTCAGTAGACAGCAACAATCCAAGGCTGCAGCTCTCTAAAGCCTTCCTAGAAAGAACACCCGGGAGCTTGGCGGGCCATGCGGCTAGTTTGCACCATGACCATTGATTTTCAAGGCCATATATGGTCTCCAATGTTGCCTGTCCACCACCCTGGAAGTTCCCCTTGTGAAAGATCATGGGTCTCTCAAGGCAATCACCTCTCACTCCTTCCTGGAAACTGGAGGCGTCTTCAGAGAACATAAATTATCAGCTGCTTTTGCTGCCAAAGCATCTGCCTTTACACTACCCCCATACCCCACCCCTTCCTCCCCCTTTGACCTACTTTATGCCAGCAGGTGTGGGCCTTCAGTTTCTGCCCCTCCCCCAGCTCCAGGAGCTGTTTGTTTTTAGCACAGTCTGGTTTATTTACAGCTCGTTCCAGCTGAGTATTTCCATCAGGTGGATGAGTCTGGGAGCAGCATCCCCTCTTCACACTCCCTGTCAGCTAAGCCGGGGCTTCACATGTCTATTTTGGTGCTGAATGGCCCTGTGTATCTCTCTTAGGCTTGTGCTGTCTCCACTGGAACAGTACCTAAGCCCAGGGTCCAGCTTGGAAGAGTCCCAGGAGGCTCCACTGTAATGGAAACTGCTGGGTGTGTAGCACGTGGTGCCTGCTGTGGCCTGGTGTACCATGTGCATGGCTCTGCCTTGACTATGTGAACTACCAAGGGACTCTAGGTCACTTATTGATACTAATGCCATTGTATCTGTGTATACTGCTCTACCCAAGTATAGGCAATTGTCTAATGAAAGTTTTGGCAAGCGTTTGTTTTTTTCCCTCATTGGAATGGAGCCGTTTCCCTGCTTCATTTTGAGAAACTGAGGCACACTCTTAGAAAGCGATCCACACCAGTGGACTCTTGGAAATACAGGAACTTGCATCTAAGAGTTTGAGTCTGGGGTGCATGTGTCTCTGTGATACGGTACACTCACTTCCTCAACCCAAGGAATCAGTTTCCTTGTCTGTACCACCAAGAGTTTGGCCCACACCACCTCCAATGACAGGTTTTAAGATAAGTGTGACAGCAGGATCACCACTGGGTCTGTCTTTCGTTTTCCCTACATGCAAGACAAGTCCATTAGCAGACCACCAGATCCCTAGTTCTGCCTCCAACACCAAGCAGCATCCCTCAGGGTAAGCCTGCAAAGGAAGCAGCAAGGGAAGAAAGCATCCTGCCTTAGGCTGGAAAATGCCAAGTGCAGCCATATGCTAGTGGTCCTGTGCCTGCCTGTACATAGGGTGGGAGCCCATCCAAGTTTTCACTTCTCCCCCACCTGTTGGCGTTAGAAAGAAACCCTAGAGGAAGTGAGACACTGAAAGACGCATGTTCTATGGTCTGTCTGGGTGCACAGACCACACAGCCTTGAAAAGCAAGTTCTGATTCTAAAGGTAAAAGCACTTTGACAGTCTTGGGAAAAGGCCATGGTGAAGGTTTGCACCTGAGTGAGCACAGGCAGCAAGGGAGGCCACACCTGTAAAGAACGTGATCTGGTGGTTTGGTGGCTGCTGTCTTTGAGCCACATCACCCAAGCCAGTTGGCCTGGAATGATGGCGAGCATCCCGGCCACCTAATGCCAGGGGAGTAGTGGACCACAGAGCACAGTTTTACTTCAAAGTCAAGGGGACAGTAGCTGCCAGGCACTCTGGAGTCAAGGTCACAAGAGGGACAACAAAGAACTTCACACACATAAGCATGCATGCAAGGGCCCCAATAACTCCATCCCATCCCTTCACCCTGCCATCTTAACCCTGGCTAAGAAGTTTCTAATTTAAAGGATGCTCCCAGGAGAAGCCTACTTTTCAAGTCTTTTAAAAAACCATAATGCATGCATATATACTCTCTCTCTCTCTCTCTCTCTCTCTCTCTCTCTCTCTCTCTCTCTC